TGGTCTTAACACGCCTCTTTTCGCTCTGCATCTTTCTTAGAGAGGTATGTACAAGGCCTGCTGTCGATGAGACGCGAGGGTATCCTTACCATGGTTTTATGGTTCGTTAATTTCACCTAGAATCTGTCGTATAGATTACAATATTGCCATCTGCATGCCCAGTCGTCTGTCGGATCGGACTCGCCGTTTGTCAACCATCCCAAGTGGCTCGTTGTGCTCGTACAAACTTTTTGTTCGCCTATTGCCGCCTTGGGTGGCGGGGGTTCAGGGTGGCCTTGACGTTTCAAGGTATGCCTGGAGATTGCGAACAGAGCTATCTCTCCAGTTTCTATTAGTAGTTTGATTTCTTCTCCTGCTGCGGATCTTCACCAAGAACATGATTCGAATTCCTACCCAAGAGAGGGCCTAGGCCGACTCTTGTTCCTGGGACCAGAGGACAGGACAACGATGGATGGCTACACTACCTCTGAGTGACCAACTGCACAGCCAGAAAAGAAACGAAGCATAGAAATGCTCAAAGAGAGGCCGGACAGGGAACGGCAAGTCAGTGTACAAGTGCTCGTATGTGGTGGTTCGCGGCGCGGCATGACATATGACCAGAGAGAGACCCGGTAGCAGGCCCGATTGATCACGACCGGGGTGCTGCCGTCCCTGGAGTCAATGCGATGCTCCATGGCTAGTCGAGCAGCCCAGCTGGAGCTCGAAACACCTTAGCGGGCTTTGGCTGATCTCGACTGCCCTAGCCGGGTCAATTTCTAAAGGGTGTGGCCTTACCAGCCCCACGTCTGCCAATCCAGATATATTTCCGAATCTGCTTTAATGGGCGGAGAGCGACGGCGGATGACGGATGAGCACATTGACTGATACAGACACATGGTTGTTGTACAGTAGAGTAACCCGCTTGGGGCCGATATACCTGCATCAAGTCGCCGCCTCCTTCACACCCCTCCGCCTTGTTTCTACTCGCACTTCCTTCACATACCAGGCCTGCTTTCCCTTCTGCGGCATTGCTTGCATCTCGGCAATCACAGCCACTGTCGCAGTCGCAGACTTAAAATCGCCAGCAGGTCGAACATCCGGCTCCAAACTCCAGCGTCCACAGTCATCTTCAGCATCGCGCAAAGCTTGGTCCCGGGCGCTCGGCTCAGTACCGCTTGTTTCACTTGTTCGAGCGCAGACCGCGTAATCGCCATCGTGACCCCAATTGGCACATGCCAGATGCCGGCTTGCGATCCCAGCGACAGCGTCACTAAACGGGAGGGCTGCCGTGGGTTTTCCGAGCTGGATATTTCAACTGCAGCACCGCAACTGAACTTGGATATAGACTTGCTTTGGTCCCGTATCACGACACGACACGAGACCAGAATCGACCAAGGCGCACTCCTTGTACAGATCTGCTCATAGTGCGAGGCGTTGTTGGCTATTCTCCCCCTCCAAAAAGCACCTGCTTGTTTCTTTACTTAGCCTGCCGTTCTTTTCCCTCCACCTCCCCAACTTTCCCATCTCTCTATCCCCCCATACTCGGCGCAACCGGTAGAGCAGATCCATTGGTTCCAGAAGGAGTCCAAGGCTGGCGTAATACAGATCCTCTCGAACGCGGCACCCCAAGCCGCGAGTCCATCCCGTTAGTGCCGAGACTCCGATCGGTTGGGTCGCTCAACTGCCTAACGCAACACCGATTTAACTCTACGTCGGTGATTCAACAACGACACATCTGTTGACGCTGCAAGCTGGTGATTGGTGTACTCGATCAAAATACACCGAAATCATGGCAGAAACGTCGCACAACCCGTATCCGCGATCTCCCAATCCCTCCACCAGGTCGTACGATTCGTCATCTGTCTCGTCCGCAACGTCGCCTCGGCCTCCTTCGCGGTACCTGGGGAGCATGTTGAATGCGACAGGAAGACCAAACCCGACACCACCCCAGCCTCTTGGTATGCCTACGTTGCCCCCCGTGAACCAAGGCTTTCCGCCTTATACGCCCATGCCACCGACCTCCATCATGGGCCGCGAGTCTGTTGCCTCTACCGACTCCCTGGTAAGCAGTCAAGGCCCTGGCGGCTCCCAACTGTCGGGAACTCCCGGTGCGCAAGGACAAAAGAGGGCCTACCGTCAGCGACGCAAAGATCCCAGCTGCGACGCATGCCGGGAGAGGAAAGTCAAGTGCGATGCGACGGAGACGACTAGCTGTTCCGAATGCTCTAGTCGCAACGTCAAATGCCAGTTCACCAAGGAAACCAATCGAAGGATGTCTTCCATCAAGCAGGTGCAAGATCTGGAGAAGCAGATTGAAAAGGTCAAGCGGGACAACAACAACTTACGCCGAATGTTGCAGGAGAGAGATGGCTCTATGGACATTGACGTCGAATCTAGAGAGCGATCATCCTCTCAGTTGCCGCCCCCCATCGAGTCCGAGAGCAGGCCGCGCAAGAGACCGCAGCTAGTTCCCGACCTCGCTCTGGCAAGGACGAACCTACGAACTTTTTCAAAGGGCATTTGGAAACCTCCAGCGCAGCACCGACTACCGGCGCCGGCCCCCTTTGATGCACCCGTGCCTGAGTTGCCTCCCCGTCAGGTGGCAGAACAGCTGCTAACCACCTACTACGCTTCCGCGCACACAATGTTTCCCATCATTCATTTACCAACCTTTAAAGCCTTGGTTGACGACTTGTACCGAGCAACTCCGCCTCGCATACCGCCGGGGTTCTTGTGCCTATTCTTTGCTGTTTTAGCAACTGGTAGCTTGTTTACCGCTGAAGTTGCTGCATCAGCCGCCACCTATTTTCGACCGTCCGAGCTGTTAGAGTCGGCGCGAAAAGCCATGGACCCTTGGTGTAATCGTCACACTCTCGACGACGCAAGAGCTCTTATCCTCATTACCATTTGTCTGAACGAGATGAATCTGAAATCAGCAGCGTGGAGCTTCTTGGGCAATGCAGTACGTGTTGGGCAAGACCTTGGCCTCTACCTAGACACGGAAACATGGCCTGTGGTGGAAGGTGAGATGCGCCGCAGGACGTGGTGGGCAATTTATATCCTTGACAGGGTCATGGCCACCGAGATGGGCCATCCATTTCTTATTGACGATGCCGACTGCAGCGTTGCTCTGCCCGCCGCTGTGGATGACCAATACATTGAAGATGATGGCATGAGAGTCCCCAGTGGAGCTGAGCCGTTGACGCACTCTCTCTTGGCTGTTATTCACGTCGTCAGGTCCTACACTTCGATTGTGAAGGCAACTGAGTCTCCCGCGATACCGCCTACGCAGCTTGCCGGCTTCGACGCTCATTTCAAAAAATGCCTGAACACATTCCCTCCAGCTTGTGATCCTGTGAGCACCGTGGCTTTGGCACCTCACTTCTTGGCGCCTCTCACTTATTTATTCCATGCGCGGCTAGTTCTTCACCGCCATAATATAAATCCCAGCTGTGATGTTGATAACCGCCTCGCAGCCATTGAGAGCTGTATGCACATTGGTATAGAGACGGCATCGTTGCTTAACAGAACAAGCTCTCCAGCAGATGGAGCCACCTCTCTTTTGACAGCTCATATCTTCCGCTGTGCCTTATTTTTGCTTCTAACAGGATGTTTGGATCACGCCATTACCTGTATTCGAGCTCTAGCAGCGATTGACGCGCGGCGCGATGTAGCTACTGCTTGCGGGAGATACCTTTCCTTCTTTACATCCACCTTGAGTGTGAAGCGAGCTGAATATTCAAGTCGCATAGCTCGAACAACTTCGCCTCATGCTTTCTCCAGTGCGCGATCGCCTGTGGACCCTTCCACCCTTTTGGTTTCATTGGCTAGAGATGAGGAGCTTTTGGCTTACGTCTCATCCGACCTCCATGCCTCACCATCAAAATCTTGGGTCTGGACCGAGGGATATGACCGTGATTACCTCCCTCCCAAGCCAGATGCTGCTGCTCCATCCGGCGGGCTCGGACACGCACTTTTCAGCTCAGCCATGAGAACTGGCCTCAGTGAAGAGGAGCGCAGGGAGTGGGGTGGATGGACTCAACTAGAGACGGCGGTTCGAGGGCTGGGATCGACTCATACGATGAGCAGCAACTGGACAACCCTCCCTCCGCCTCAGGTCAAGAGAGAATCTCCAACCCCTGGCATCCCTAGCATTCAGCGGCTTTCAGAGGCCCCTCGGTACACGGCCGAAGTTCCCAAATATGGTAATGAACCATCGAGACCCGCTGCTAGCCCCGCTGGTAGAGATAGATTGAGCATTGCGAATATTATATGATGACGACGACCATGACGACGAGGATAGAGATTTTTGGGAACTCGGAAATGATACACGAAATCTGGGGTGACTCAAGGTCGCTTTCTTTCTTTCTTTTACTTTTTTTTTCTCAGTTCCCCTTCTCTGTTGTTGTAATCTCTGATGTTGGGTAATAAGGGGGTATGATGGCTCGCTTTTTGGACCTTGGATTGTTCTTATCGTTTGGATTAGGAAAAAAAGTGGTCGAATAACGGCATTTGATACCAAGCACTCTTACACATACCCATGGAACTAGCGATTTGTTTTTATTTATTTTCGTTTTTGCTTTTTTTTTTTGTACACGGATTAGCCGGTGAAGACTTATATACCAAATTTCCTTCAAGTGTCTTTTTTTCCCCTTTCCCCATTTTCTTTTATACATGAGTCTTTTAACGCTGTCAAATACGGACGCAAGAGTAGGAGATACCACCTGAGCCTTTTTTTGCTTTTCTTTTTCTACCTCCACCCTTCGATTTTCTTGGGGTCGTCTGTCTTTGTTACTTTCCTCACTCTCTCCATTTTATGATGTCACATTTGCCTGAAAGAACGCAAACGATATAATAGTTTACATAGCATCGACGTTTGTGTTCGATAGCAGAGATAATTCCAACTCTACTTATGCCTCCATCCCATTGCCCACGATGTTATGTCTTACAATGGGTCTTCAACTATTAGAGTAACATCTGTCCGTAGATGAAAAAAGGGGGGGTAATCTCGCCGTGTCTCCTCACCTTGGCCCTCCATCAAATTGCAACTTTGCAAATTTCTCCTGCAGTGTATCCCGCAACAACCCACCGTCATCGATATACTCGGCCAAATGCATGGCTTTGAGTGCCCAGCGGTGACAAGGCTCTTCCTCCCCACGAGCGTAATAGTCGATGGCGTGGTTGAAACTCGTTGCAACGAGCCACTCCAATTCCGAAGACGGCAGCTGATTTCCAGCCTGTCAAGCAACATTAATAAAATGCCATGTTACTCTTCTGAAACACATCTTTTGTAAAGAGCGCGCGCGGGGAGAAGAAAAACGGAGGCTTACTTCCTTGCCCTCACGGGCTATTTGTATAGCTTGATCCACAAGCTGAAGAGCCGCTGTATCGTCCAGCCCCAGAATCGCTTGAAACATACATCGAATGTATTTTGCAAGTTTCTCGTAGTCAAACTCTTCCAGCTCAAAAATCTCATTGATGATGAGGCGCATGGTCGAAAACAATGCTAGAATTCGAATCGTCAGCGTCATCTCTCAGTAAAGGGGCTAAACAGATAGCCATATATCCCTAACCTTTCCCCGGAGCTTTGCTTCTCAGTACGCAGTCTCCCATCGCCTTGTACATCACCTCGTCACGGCACGGCTTTGCTTTGCGGACAATCTCGTTCAAGCCATCCCAATCCCTGAGCACGGTGGCGGCCTCAAAGTCGAAGACAAACAATGTTGATAGTTTTGCGTTCAAATCTGCCGCGGTTCTTTCATCCATTATTTCATCCGTATCAGTCTCTAATATTGCATAGAATTTGTCCATGTGATGTCTAACTTGGAGGTAAAACTGCAACTGCTCTTCCACTCTATCCTCTTTCCTTGCGAGCGAGACTAATGCTGCAGCAATGACAAAGTGGCAGCGTAAGGCCATCATGGCTATATCAGTGGCCTCAGATGAAGGCAGATCCTTAGGATAACAAGTCGAAAAGGCCAGACATGTTTTAAATATCCGGATGATGTGAGAGAGCTCCCATGTATCGCATTTTGCAACACCCATATTGTATGCATTTTTTCGGAACCAGTGTAACTCGGGTGCAGTAAAGACTATGTTTCCCACGTCATCTTTGGGATGCTGGTTCGCTTGTTCGGCAGCTATGGCCATGACATTAGCAATCATCTGATGGGGCACGTCGCATATGAATACCTTTCTCAAATATATGGCACAAATCTTCGGCATATGCAACGCTATGAGAACCTGCCTCATCCTCGTTACCCTTTTCTTCAATCAAATGGATGAGACGAATCGAGCAGCGCAGTATTGACGTTAGATTGCTTGGAGTTTCTTGGTCAGTCGTCCAACTCTCGATGATGGCCTGTAGGGCTGTCAGAGTACACAGTTTGTCACCTGCTTGTTGTGCTTCTCTAATACAGGCGTACAGCATGTCGCGACCTTGTGAACTGTCTGAAAGTCTACTGAGATGCCTGATGCTCTCAGAACCAAGCTCATGGTCCCAGTCAATGAGTGATACTTTGAACGCCAAGTATCTAGTTAGGATGTGGTTTTTGGAGTTCTCTGACATTGAATGTAAAATCTGTCGCGCCTTTTCGGTATCGTTACCTCTCAGAGCACAAATGACACGTTTTCTGCTGAATTTGCCAAGATTGGCTTCGCCACTGCTCATGAATATTCCGTGCAGAGCAATTAAGCACCATGCCTCTGCAGCTTCATAGTTCTCGTCAAAAAGTATCGAGTCTATTTTACTCCACATGACCTTCTGTCCAATTAGTACAGGCATATGAACTTGATGCGGGAGTGCTGCGGTCAACTTACTGAATGCGCTGCGCCAGCAATATCACACCCCAAAGGCTCAGAAAGAGCATCACTCACTTTGTCTAAGAGTTTTTTAAGATCTGCCAAAGCTTCAATAGAATTTGTTTCATCAACAGTGTTCATCCAGACCCTCCTGACAACGGTTTTTCCAATCCATTCCCTGTTTTTTGAAGATATGATGTGTTGTAGCAAAAGTTCATCCAATAGCCCGCGGGCCAACCGATGGTTCTTTTCTCTCAGAGATTTGATGTGATGCAAAAGAAAGTAAAAAGAAGCGTCGGAATAGTCGAATGATCGAACCATCCGATGCAGAATACTAGAATAGGCGTCGATATCGAAAATTTCCCCAGGAGCTTTCTGCAAAAGTTCAAGGCGCCAGTGCAACACAAGGGGCTTCTCTCCAATCTCAGACTCGATATATTCGATCAAACTGTTGGCCTCCTGAACACACTCTGGGGAGCCAATATCAAGGAGTCCCCGGACAAGGCCTTGGCATATGGCTAATCGCAATTCCAGCCCCTTACTTGAGAGCTGATCCAGTGCCTGATGGTTGATAATATCGTAGGCGCGTTTCAGCCACTTGACCGCCATACTGTAATCTCCTTTCGAGGCAAGATCAAAACCAATATGTTGTAAAGTATCAGCTATTATCTCAGCAGACCTTGGGTCCAGCGTTGGTCGAATGGCATCTATCTTGCCAAACATATGCTCCGCAACGTCAAGCCTATCTTCTTTCCATGACTCTCCAACTTGTCAGAACATTGAGGTTCGTCAAGCTACTCCATGGGCGAGTACTCACCAGAGCTGTTCTCATCGCCAAGTATTCTGCGTCAAGTTTCGTCCGCTCACTCTGCTCACGAGGGTCCGAAGCGTCAAGCGGGGCTGCTTTGATCCTTTCCATCAGTTCTGCAGTTTTTTGAAGTGCCAATCTAGCCGACTCCAAGTCGGAGTCTTCTACGCAATGCTTGCCGAGCGTCAATGACAGACTCATCAAGTACGCAACCTCTGCCCCCGTATCCTCCTTGGCTCGGCCCGCACTTCGACCAAGCTCCAGCATAGAAAAGGCAAGCGACCTTGCTTTAAGGAGCAACCTGGCTTTATCCATAGGAGCGGATCTATTTCGTTCTCTCTTTAATCTCACACAGAGATTCCACAAATCTCGACCATGTCGTTCAACATCCTTGGCTAATTTCGGCGGCAAGGGACCTGCGGATCCCGACGGCGCTGCATTGTGAATCAGCTGAACATGGTGGCCAGTATCGGCGAGAAGAAGGTCGATGTTTTCCTTATCAAGGGATTCCGAAAGCTTAGACTGAAGCGTAGCAGCGAATTCTGCATACCCAGCACCGTTAAAAACTACGCAAAGCCATATTAAGGACAACCAAGAGGATGAATTGCCTACCGACAAATGAGCGAGCCTTTCTAATCCTGCCGGCGGAAGCAAGATCATCAGGCGCCATGTTGACACGATCGACTAGAGAAAAGCTTATGAGAGCTTGAAGACGAAAGACGCAGTCGTAGAAGCGCAAGTGAGGTGTAATATCGAGAAAACGGCAATCCTGAGCATTGATGCCACTGATTCAAAAACAGAGGGAAAAGGGAGAGGAAGAGGAAGGCATTCCCATTACATAGATCTTCGATATGCACCTGCCTCACCACAAATATAGGTACTTCAGTAGAGGTACCAACTTGCCTTCGCCGAGGTGCTAGGAAGTACCCGTGTACCTCAGACTTAAGGAACCAATTCAACCAATCTCGAAGACAAATCATCCATAGGTAGTAGCAATTATCCAACATTAATCGAAAAGACTACCGTATGCCTAAGTAGGTATGTACCTCACAGCTCTAGCAATAAAAAAAAAAGAAACACACACAAAGACAAGAAATCCAACATCAACAGCACACCCAACTCTCTCTCCTCCAACAACAAAACTTGGGAATCTAAACACTCCATGAAGAAAAACAAATCAGAGAAGAATGAAGGACTCGAAGGGGGACAAGGAATGAAGGGGGACACAACAACAGCAATAACCCCCGTGTACAATATTTCGGGCAAGACGACGAAAAGGGGGAAGCAACTCGACGCAGTTCCAACGCCGTCCGTCATGCCCCATTAACCTTACAATGATAATAAAAAGAGACCCGTTCCTGATCCAAACTTTTTTGGTTGGTTTATATTAAAAATCGGTTTTCCGCACCCCGTGCACAAGTAAGTCTCCTGCATCTTCCCACGTAGAAAAACTCACACAAGCAATACGCGTTTTTTTTTTCGGTCATTAATCGGATGCCTAGGCATAAACATCATCACTGTACAGGAGGGTCGTGTGGTAAAAAGTTGCCAACAATCAACGCAGGCCTGTTGAAAATCTTGGAGTCAGTCTCTCTTGCTGTCGTGTAGGAGAAGGTAAGAGCCATTCAAGAAAGCTTCAAACTTACAGTTTATGCTCATCGCGACGGATCGTAAAGGAGAAGCAACACTTGACAATGGGATGATCTGATGAATCGCTGGGATTCTTTAGCGAGCACGCCGTCAATAACGTATCGTGTGCTGGGTCAAAGGCAATGGTGCCAAACTCTTCCCAATATCTAACCATCGACTCCTCGGTGAGGATCTCGTGGAGTGCAATCTTGCCCTGTACAGGAAAAAAGGACATTTGTTAGCGCGTCACGCATTCACAGAACGTGTAAAAGAATGGGAAAATACTAACATCTCGTAGCTGATCCACCGGCACATTGATCAACTCGGCCATTTCCTTATTTCCTCGGAAAATCTCCCCTGTCCGCCTCCAGCAACACGCCGGTACAGCCATACTGGCAAACACCCGGTCGTAGTCCATCAGCTGTTTCTCAAACCACATCTCCACATACACCAGCTGCATGTCCGTCAAGCCTTGTGCCTTTTCTCTAAACTTGGGTCGAAACTGGTTAATGGTCCGCAAAATCTTTTGTTTAGATGTGGACGCGATGTGTCCGTCCAAGTACTTGCCCAGCCGCGCATAGCCCTTGATGTAGTTGAACGGCTTGAGCAGACCGGCATCGTACTTGGCCTTGAGCACGCGAGACATTCGTTCTTCTGGGTTGTCGTTCCCAGAAGGGTCCGCTGCCTGGAGGTAGTATTCTCGAGTCTTCTCCTTGTCAGATCTAGTCATTGACTTGTTATCAAAATTTGAAGGCGGCAGCATAGACCCTGGCACATGGCCCGCTGATACAGAGCCGCCCGTCAATCCATTGCTGCTGCCAAAGCCAGAGAGCATCTCCGACGGACCCCCTGGCCGATTAAAGGCCGAGTTCTGCTGAGCTTCGACGCCACCCTCGTCAAGGATACTATTGTGCAAAAAGTCGTTGAGCAGGTTAAACTCGTGAGTGACGTCGGCACCAATCAGGTAGTTGGGGTTATAGGTATTCATATCATGGTAGTTTTGCGCGGTCAACCAAGCGTCCGAGAAGCCGGCAACTACTCTCTCGTTAGCCATCCAGAGCATCATGTTGGTGGCCGGGGGGGATACTGGGGTAGTATCGGAGAACGACCAAGGCGATTTGGGGGGAGGGGTCGAATCTCGTTTTGGAAGAGCTTACATTGATTCGCGTTACCATTGTTATTCAACGCGTTGGCCTGCAGGCCTGACGAAGCGTCGGGTTGCACAAGGGATAATGGGTTGGCCTGTCCAAGCACGCCTCCAGCCCCGATGGCCGAGTTTGCCCTCTGCCTCGCGCCATCGAAGGTCGGGGGAGGGCCCATGGCGCTGGATATGGAGCTGTGGCCTACGTCGGACTGGGACATGGTGTCCGATTCATCTACGGACGCTGTGGATGCAGTTTTGCTGACGACCGTCTTCTTCTTGGGATCTGACTCGCGGGGCTCATCGTGGCAGAGATGGCCAATATTTCGCTTAATGCATCTCGTACATGGACGCTCCTGTCCACGGCATTAGCACGTCCACAATGTAGAGCAAGGGAAGAGGTGGGCAGAGACAAGGAGGGTCTGGACCCATCCGTGAAGCTGCGGCAGAGGAGAAGCAGGATAGATGCCATGTGGAGGATGTACTTACGAGATCGCATGTCATGTGCTACTCGCGTCAAATTGAATCAGTCAGCCACAAGATCTTGATTTACAAATAAGGGGTGTGGGTAATGAATCTCAAAGATGTCTTCTTCTTCATCTGCTTCTTCTTTCTTTCTTTCTTTCTTTCATTGTCTTCTCTTCTTTCCCCCTTTTTCCTCCAGGCTGTATATGGGACGTCTCATTTTCTAAAGCGGGCCAGACTTACAGATCTGCGACAATACACGCAAGCTGCAACGGTAGAGGGAGAGACACGCAGCTAATCGTTAGTCCATGCTGCATACACACTCGACACTTGCTCTTCCAAGGTCACTGGCCGAATGAATCGAACTGAACAATGGGGGGAAAGATGGGGGGTGAAAGGGGAGGGCAGAGGGCATGAACGGGGGCAGCACAACAACTGCACAGCGACCATTTGTGCCCTCGGCCCTCTCAGTATTTTGGCCCGCAAGAACGGGGAACGGGAGGGAGGGTTCAAGCAAGTTCTGCGTACCATGGTTAACCTTGCGTCTCTTCTTGGGATTCTTGCCAGCGCCACGACCCTCGTGGTCCTTGTCGCGCTCGGCCGCATCGCCTTTGGCCGCCATTTTGCTTCGCTCCACCACCTTGCTTCCCTTGGCATCCATCGCACCCGGCGCCGTGGTGGTGGTGGTAGTGGTGGCAGTGGCCGTAGCACCGGTAGCCTTCCGCTCGCTCATTGCTGTTGTGTACGCTCAATCTTTCTCTTCCCCCCCAGTGGTTCCTTCTTTTCCAGTCCCGTTGGTTTTTCTTCCGTCTCTCTCTCTTCTCTCTTCGCTATACTCTCATCTCCCGATTGCTCGGCCTCCCATTGGATCTGTCTGCCTCGGGAAGGGTTACGCAAACGTCCAGATTGCAGATCATCGAACGGGAAAATCGTCCCAGCTATCCGGCTCGCCTCAGACGCTTCCCGATGGCGCAACTAGCATGCCCGAAGCTGTGCAGCCCTCTTTGGCCCCTCAGCAGCAAGGCAGGAAGCAAGCTTAAGCGCAAAGGCCGGGTCTCCCCCGTCTCTCTCTCTTTTCGCCCGCGCAAAACGGAAGAGGTCGTGTGAGGGCCAGACAAACCCGCCCGTCTCTGTCCGTGGCCGGATATCGTCTCTGTATCGCTTGGGATGGCGGAATCAGGGCCGGACGCGGGCTCTGCCAGGCAGGAATGGGATGCAGAGGCAGAGTTTTGCCAGCAAAACAAGAATCGAGTTGAGCACGAGAGCAAAAACGCATCAGCAGGAAGCGCAAGTGCTGCTTTGAGGCACCGGCAAGTTCAGCTGGGCCCTCCCTTTTGGTGGGGACCTGGAGCCAGTGGACCGAGCCTTTTCGCCTTGGCGGCCAGCGCTAGCCCGGCCGGTTGGGTACCTGCGCCAGAAGGATTTCAACGGATCAATGGGCTGCTACAGCGGTCGGCAAGGCCTGTAACGGCGCCTGTAACCGTTCTACTGTATAGCGGTACAGGGAAGAGGGGGGCTTAATATCGCCCAACTGCTCATTCGCTGCATTCACACACACACATACCAAGTATTCGGAATAGCCTCGTTTCTGGCATGTTGGTTCCTGTCACGTCACTCTTTATTCTCCGCATCCTGATTGGGCCCTGTGATTAGACTTTTGACAATAGCTACTGTACACAACCACCAGAAGAAAAGAACAATAACCACACACCTAGCAACAAACCGAAAAAAAAAAAGACCAACAGCATTTGCCATCTCATCTCATCTCTCGTCTCATCTCAACTTTCACCTCATCTCAACCTCCCGAAATATGCACATCCCAATTTACCCTACACCTAAAAAAAGATCGCCGTATTCCGCTGCCCGCTCCCTAAGCCACCGGCCCCGAAAACGGATGCCCATTCGCCCATCCCGAAGCCACATCCCACACGTTCCGCGCATTGCACATGCAGGACCTCGGGAACTACAGGCTTGAAAACCGGGAAACCCAATTACGTTACGCCCAGACAACTGTAAAGAACAAGATGGAAGAGAGAAGCGGCTAACTCCCCCTGCACAATCCCGTGTGAAACCGTCGCATTTCAGCCCCCCGAACTGCTTTGCCCTTCTCCCGAGTTGACATGCCGTGGCCAAAATGACCAAGTTTCGGCTCGGCGGTTAAAACAGGCTGCCGTGACGTGCCTTCTGCCCGGATGGCTTTCGCGCATGTCGGAATATCACGGGATGGCATCTCCTGCGGCGCTAAATGGCATTACCTAATGCCTCTTTACTTTTGTCGCAGCCATGCGGAGGATTACGGAGGGGCCGTTGGGAACTCACTCACTCATCAGGCATGGGTTCTTGAATTGATTGATATTGATCCAACGCTACAGTACCTGGAGCATAAGCCTGCTGCAGTAATGACATGATTAGGAATCAAATAAAATGACATGACATAGAACCGCAATGTCCCCGAAATACTGACCGGCTATGCAAGCCAACAACTTAGTAAAGATATCCTTAACAATAAACCAGTCGTAGATCATCCAAGCTGCACGAGCTTCATATGGCCACAAAGAAGCCCTTTTCACCCTCCTTGGGAAGCACTCGGGCCTTTCTCATGATTTCATCTTCACACATCAACCGGATCCTCTCGGGCGTTGCTGGGCTCTCCAGCCTAAGGAGGCCCTCGCTATCATCTTTCCCTACCAGGGCTTCGACTCCAGCGTCCTTCCTCGCCGCCTTGAGCGCATGCCGGATGGCGAAGAAGACGGAGCTGCCCATGAAGAGCGGAGGCTCACCCACACCTCTGCTGCGCTGAATCGTACGCAAATCCTTCCACTCAACGTCCTTGAGGAGCGTCACATTGAATTCCTGAGGAATATCGCGGAAGCCTGGAATCTTATACGCTCCGGGGCCGCGTGTGAATAGGTTGCCGGCCATGGCGCCGTTTCGTAACCACAGAGACTCTTCCATCGTGAAGAGCCCGAAGCCCTGCATGAAAGCGCCTTGGATTTGGCCATAGTCGATTGCTGGGTTGATGGACTGGCCGATATCCATCTTGATATCTGCCCGGAGGCAGGTTGACGAGCCAGTCAGGACATCGATTTCAACCTCTGCAGCGGCAACTCCCTGTGTGAAATAAAAGTACATCTTGCCCTTATTCTCGCCCCAGGTGTACCCAATCTCAGGAGTCTTGTAGAAACCCTGGGCGGACAGGTTGACGCGATCGAAATAGGCTGCATTGGCTAGCTCCTTCATCGTTGCTTGCGGGCCAAGTTTCTCTCGATAGGGGGCAAGACGCTCGTTGAGCTGTTCACAAGCGTTGAAGATTGCATACCCGTTAAGATCGGAGGATGCAGACGCCGCTGTTGAGGAGGTATTGGCGACTGTGTTAGTGGAAGTTTCCGAAATAAAGACATCATCAAAGGGGACCTTGAGAGCTTGTGCGGCAATCTGGGTCATCTTGGTGTGCAGTCCTTGGCCCATCTCAGTACCTCCATGGGCTACCAAGATAGAGCCATCGTGGTAAATGTGCACCAGCGCTCCCGCCTGGTTGAGGAAGAGAGCCGTGAACGAGATTCCAAACTTGGTGGGAATCAGGGATATTCCCCTCTTGCGCCACTTGTGAGTCTCGTTGAAGCGATCGACGGCAGCCTTGCGCTCTTGGAAATTGGACTCTTCCTGCACTTGCTTGTACATGAGTGGAACGTGCCAATCCGTGACGGGCTGGTTGAAGTGCGTCGGCTCAAGAGGTTTGTAAAAGTTGATTTCTCGTAGCTTGTCAATGGGAATGCCTAAACGATCTGCGGCCTCCTCCATACAAGTCTCGATAATGAACATGCCCTGAGGTCCACCAAAGCCACGGAATGCCGTGTTGGAGACAGTGTTGGTCTTACAAACGCGGCCGCGGACGTGTGTGTTGGGAATGCGGTAGCACCCATCGACGTGCGTTACTGCTCGCTCAAGCACCGCCGCGCTGAGATCAAAAGTCCAGCCAGCATTGTTGAAAATGTCGACATCGAGAGCCTGAATCTTTCCGTCCTTGTTGAAGCCAACCTTGTACTTTCCGAGGAACGGATGTCTTTGACCCATGGTGAGCATGTCCTCCTCTCGTGTCAACATGCAGCGGATCGGCCTCTTGGTCTTCTTGGCCGCAAGAGCCACGGCCGAGCTGAGGATGATGGATCGAGTCTCCTTGCCACCAAAGCCACCTCCGAGTCTCTTGACACGGACGACGACTTTATTTGCGGGTACATTGCAGACACGAGCGGCAAATGTTTGGCTATACGGAGGAAGGTTAGTTGATAAAACCACTGAGGAGGCTGGGCATGTGCTATTACTTACGTTTCAGTCGGATTCTGTGTGCTGGCGAAAATCTCCATTGCTCCGTCTTCTGGACTGGGAACGACGACGCATGCATTGGTTTCGAGGTAAAAGTGCTCTTGACCGCCCATCCGTGCGGTACCTGTAAAGACATAGTCGCAACCTTTGAAAGCTTCTTCAACGTCTCCAGTCTTGATCTCGCGAAAGCATGGGTGGAAGCTATCTTGTTGGATGGCGTCCTCAATCGTGAGGATGGCCGGCAAATCCTCGTATTCCACCTTGACGGCTCTTGCCGCTTCTTGGGCCTTTGAAGCCGACGTGGCAAGGATCATGGCGATGGCCTGGCCAGCTGTAAGTACTTCACCCTCGGCGAAGAAAAGTTCATCAAAGTTGGGCGGTCCAAATCGATTGGCTGCTTGAGAGGGCATATCGGAACTATCGACATAGTCCACTACGCCGGGCATGTCGAGTGCAACAGAATAGTCGATGGATTTGATCTTTGCATGCGCTCTAGTCGATAGTACCCAACACCCGTACAATTCGTTCTTCATAGGAGGGATATCGTCCGTGTACTGGGCCTCACCAGTCGTTTGCTTCAGTGCGGCAACATGAGGGTTCGATTTGCCCGTGACGGCCTGTTCGTATGCGGCTGCCGTGTGAGGATCAGTTCGGCCAGTGGAAATGGATCGTTCAATCTCATCAATGGCCTCCTTATCAACATGCTCGGTTTCCCCATTGAGGATGGCGAGGACGTCGTGGTAGAAGCGGTAGAAGAAGCCTAGGGCCAGCGCTTTTCGATAAGATGCCATGCCACCGGGGACGCTGAACTGGAGATCAAAATCCTTTCCGAGCGCACTCATGGTCCCTTCAAGCGTCTCCAGCTCAGCGAGGCGCTTTCCAACCAGGTACTCTGCCGCGGTCTTTGCCGAGACGGTCATGGCAGCCATGCCGCCATATATGAGGTTGCAATCTGTTACAACACCGTCGTCGTCCAATTTTACCCTCAGTGCCGCGGTAACAATTGCAATGTCGTCATCTTTTCGTTTCGCCTGCTTATAAGCTCGGTAAAATTCTCCCTTGGCTGCCGTTACGGGAATCCTGAGGGATGCGATGATGGCATCTTGAGCAAGCGCCGTTCTTCGGTACCCTGTGAAGAACTGAGATAATGGGATCTCTGTCTCCTGAGTCGCAGACTTGGCCACCAAAACAGCATTGGCACCCCATAAGGCTGGGTTCAAATCAGATATGGGCGAAGCGGTGACCAGATTTCCTGCGGGAGTCCCGACGTTTCTGATCTGCCGTCCAGCAAAATACTTTAGTTGCTTGAGGATTCCCTGAAAAACCTGCGACCTTTCATTTCCATAGCGTTTGATGGCTTCTTCGCAGATGTGCTCGAAATCTGTCAGAGTTACGTTGCCGCCAATTTCGAGGTGATCGTCCTTGAACTCGTACTGCCGCAACTCGGCAATGTCGCCGACATAGACTGACACGGGGTACTGCAGTGCCTTGAATTTGATTTCGATCTGCGTCTCAGTGCTTCCACCAATGATCTTGGCTTGGGGATGCACACTCTTGATCTGGAGAAGCTGATCCAGGGTGACAGGCCGGAACCACTTCTTTCGCTTATTACCGAAAGCGAGGGGCCGCAGTTCGTGCTTCTTCAGAGCCGGAGGGAAGATGAGCTCCGTATCAGGGTTGTATTCGATGAATCCCGGAGGAGTGAATCGCTTGATAGGCTGGTCGTTGTTCATTTTGTCCATACAACAACCCCCTTCGGGCTTACCATTCCCGTTCTCCATACAGCACCCGCCACCGCCGTTGGTCTTGGCCTTGCCACACGAGTTCTCGGCGCTGAAGGTGTGAGCTGCGTCGAGAATAGACCTGTATCCTGTGCACCGACACAGGTTGCCGTCAAAAGCTTCTTCCATTTCATCCTTGGTTGGGTTGGAGTTATTCCGCAGCAGAGCATATAAACTCATGACAATGCCCGGCGTACAGAAGCCGCACTGGCTTCCATGAGACTTGGCCACCCGTTCTTGAGTGGGATGCGGGTTCTTTGTGTTGCCAATCCCCTCAATGGTAACGACATGTTTGCCATCGAGACTTACAAGAGGTGCCAGGCAGGCGTTGACACTGGCATGGTAGATTTGTTTTGTTGTTGGGTTATACTGGCTTACAACAATTGTGCAGGCACCACACCCACCCTCACCACAGCCGCTATTAGATTGCCTGTGTCAGCTGGATCGTCCATGATGACAGGAACATCTCATCAAGGTAGGGTAGCAAAAGGGAGTTTCGTACAGTTTGGTTCCAGTCAGACCAATGCCTCTTAGGTACTCGAGAACTGTGATTTCAGGATCGATGTCGTCGAGAATGACTTTGGTTCCATTGAGATAGAAGCGGATTGTGTCATCGAACTTGGCAGTCAGAGTCTCCAGTGAGTCCAACTGACCGTCTCGTTCGGGAGATATGGCAATAGGTGCCATTGTGTGGCGGATTTAAGGAAGAGGGACGAGTATGAGAACGAATAATGGAGGTAGGGGGCTATTAGGACATGGCAAAATGAGACGAATGATTGAGGATGATGATGAGAGCAGCTGGAAAACAAGGATGCAGTATCGATGGATTATTCGATGAAACTCATGCCACAAACACGCTCTGAGATTGATGCTGATGGAAGTGAAACAAGTACAGCATGTATGCCTAATGTTCTACCAAGTGGCGACACGACATTTAAGTTGCTGGGAGAGGCGGTGGTACCTGGTAGTAGGTACCTGACTATCGCCTCCGGTGCGCTTCAGCCCAACGGCGACCCGTACCCGTACTTCCCGCTGTAGTACCCAGTGCCGGTGCATACGCCTACGCAGATACTAGCCTAGTGGGTATAGGATACCTGTATCAATGGGCACGGGGCAAGCAAGATAAGAGTTCCAATATGCACTGCTCTGACACCTCGCTGAGCTAAAGGCAAACATGTGTGTGCGACAGGCATTCCCCAGGACGTGCGAAAAGGGCAAACCGGTGAGATGCTGGAAAGTTTAATGTTTGGCACGTGGCGGAACTCCCAATCCCGTAAAGCCGATGCCAGCCCTGTGTAAGCCATGGGCCTTGTCTATCTGTGCCTCGCTTTGATATGTTCAACGTGAGTGCGGCTGGACAAGAATTATCATTGTCTATCATCACCCCCATAAGTGATTAGTTGAGGGTAAGCAGGCATTGAAATGGTGTAACCTGGCGAGTCCATGGATGATTTAATGCTAATTGATTGATGATATCTTGATTTTTCGTACTCGCACTTTGATACCCATCGACAGTGTGAGTTATATGGAGTCAAGACACTTGCTACGATACGATATCTTGCAATGCAAATCAACCCTCCATCATTGGACCTCATCCCCATCAAACCCATACAAACCCACCACAATCACCTAAAACAGGCAAAAACAAAGGTCCCAAACTGTGCCATCATTCCCAGGTGTCAAATTCACCAGATCGCCGTCCCGTTTCACCCCTCAATCGAACCCCACCGGGGAAAACGCGCTTCGGCCGGCTCCGCTGCTGAGATGCTACTCCACCTATCGGCAAGCTCCACGATAGAAAATGAGATTCCGAGGCTGCGTAATCTTCGACTAATCGCTCTGACTATTTTTGCGACACGCGACACATAGTCTGGACGTCGGGATAATTTGTTATCAGCATAGAGTTTGGCTATTTATAAGCTGCGCTTATGGCGTGGCGTTTGTAGGTAATCAAGGACAAGGAAGGGCAGTCTAAGATGAAGAGGACGCAGTCTAAGATGAAGAGGACGCAGTCTAAGATGAAGAGGACGCAGTCTAAGATGAAGAGGACCTCTAGCTAAGCTCGTACTCGTACTTTGTACATACTTGTAATATCGTTCATTGATGTTCCTATGTGGAATGGAAAATCTATTTTATCCAACACCCCGCAAAAGCTTTCTCATCTTACATTACCTCAGCCTCGAGTGACGTTGAAATCCCTCCTCTGTATCCTTGAAAGCCTAGTTTATTTCATATACTTCTTCAGCCCCCTCAACCTGTTCTTCGCCTCCTCCAAAATCGAGTCCTCCTTGCAGACTGCAAATCGGAGGTAATCTTCCGCCATGTGCGCATTCTCATCCGTGTAAAACTCAGTCGGCGGGATAGCAGCAACGCCAACCTCCTGGATCAAGAACCACGACAGCTTAAAGTCTCGCGGCCGGCTTGCTACGTGGGGAGGGAAGGGGTAGTCTTCCGGGAGTTGAACCTTGTTCATGTTGACGAGGACAAAGTAGCCGCCTTCGGGCTCTGAGTAAGGAAGACCAAGTTCGTCCCAGACCTCGTTGAAACGATCCATCTTGCCCTTCATGTCGCGGATGGCATCGTCCCAGAAACCTTCGGCCTCGGCCTTTTCGAATCCAACGGCGCAGGCTTCCTGTAGAGGCGAGACGGACGAGTAGCAAATGCGCGTGTGTGCCGCAGAGACATATTTGATGAGATGCTCCGGGCCCATGAGCCAGCCTAGAAAATTCAGGTCAGCATACAGGAGTATTGGTCATTATTCTCGGCATCAGTATCGTACCAACACGCCAACCTGTGGCGTAAAAGTTCTTGCCGGCAGAGCCAACCGTGATGGTCAGCTGCTCGATTTCAGGAGACAGGGTCGAGATTCTGGTGAAAGGCACGTAGAACAGGCGGTCATACACCTCATCGGAGAGGATAATGATGTTGTTCTTGACGCACAAGTCACCAATCTTTTGCAGTTCGTCTTTGGAAAAGACCTTGCCAACGGGGTTGTCTGAAAGCATCATTAGTGCTCAGGCTCTCTTGTCTATGCATTTAGAAGGGATAGACATACGAGGAGTGTTGAGGACAATCATCTTTGTCTTGGGAGTAATGGCTCTCTCTAGCTCGTCAAAGTCGATAGTCCAATCGGCTGCTGAAGAGGTCTTGGTGGCTCCGGTGGCTGGAGGGTGCATGGGCACATAGACAATCTTGCCTCCAGGCATCTCGATGTTGCTAATGTACCTACATTTCCGTGTGAACAACTCATGGCCAGCAAACATTGTCATGGTGAAACGTATGATACGTACTGGTCGAAGAAGGGCTCAAAGATGATGACCTCGTCACCCGGCTCAATAAAAGCCATGAATGCACTGAGCATACCTGCAATCACCCACCATTGTTAGGAATAGACTGCCTCAGCTCACTCAACCGCAAATCGCACAACACGACACAACTCACCCTCATTGGCTCCCGTCGTAATCGTCACCTCAGTCTCAGGGTTGATCTTCCTCCCCCAAAAGGGCGAATACGCATCGGCAATGGCCTTCTTTAACCTCGGCCTACCCTTGGTGGGCGAGTACTGGTTGCAGTCGACGCGGTCCAGCGCCTCCTTGGCAGCATCGAGAATGAATTTCGGCGGGTTGTAGCCGAAGAAGCCCTGGCCCATGTTCACAATGGGCTGCTTGGGCGACGCAGCTGCTGCCTCATTGACAATGGTCCTAAACCGTGTTCTCATCTCAGCATTTCTTTGTCCTTTTTTTCTTTGTTTTTCGCTCCATCTTACAGCCAGCCATATGCACTTGAAGCCCACCACCACTCGTACACAGTCAAGTCCACTTACCACACATCCTGCTTCTGCCCCGACACTCTGGCCGCAGGTTTTACCTTGAAGCTGCCGCTCATAGCTGAATATGATCTTATGAGAGCTGCGCTATGCGCCACGGGTCCTTTGCTAGCTGCGAACACGACTCGACTGCGGACGGTACCAGGAGAAGACGCTCGCAGAGCAGAAAAAGACATTGAAAAGCGAAAACCCAACACCCGCTTTTTCGCTCTCTTCCCTTTTCTCAAATGGGTTAAAGTAGCCGGTGATGCAATCGATTAGGCGTGCGAAAAAAAAAATAGAGAGGAATGTGTAGGGAGGGTCACGGATTTGGTTCCCCCCTCTCGATGTGCCGGCTATAACCACGATAAGCAACAAAAGACGCGGGAATTGGGCCGTGGAAACACGCAAAAAAAGAGGCACAGGCTCGGGTATGAAATAGTAATCGATATGCACTTCTCACGCCCTTGCAGATCGCGGGATTCTTCAAAGGATCTCTTTTGTGACGTGAAACGTGGTTGCGACATCGGCTTAAACAATTGCTGAAAACAGCCCGAGTGGATGACTAAGGGATTGCGGGGGTTTAGGCGATGGCGTCAACGCTCGTGGACTTCATTGATCAGTGCTGGTCCAGTTTGGAGTTTAGCACATGAAACGAAGCCATCTCGGGTATAACTTTTATTTATTCCAATCTATTTCCTAGTCTAGTTATATGAATATGGATTGCGCCCTATTCATTCGATATCAAGCAAATCAAAACTTTTCCAAGTAAAACATTGTGACGATACAGCCCAATAGCTCTCATCTCAGACAAATCAACCAGCAACCAATATTCTTCCCAGGGTATTCCACCATAAAGTCATCATACATCAAACTCGAGTGCCTTTCACCAAAAAGAAATAGGCTTGAACCCCTCGGGCGATTGAATTCCCAGTCCCTCAGTGCCCTTGCCCTTAGACTCCTCTCCATCTTTATCCAATTGCTCCAAAAGCTTCTTGGCCTCCTGACTGCACTCTGCCGCTGTAATACGCCTCTTAGACGCGCGATGCAGCATCCCTCCGACAAGTTTCACAAGTCCGTCGTCTGGATTCAGTGCCAGGAGGTCTCGTGCTTGCTTGGCACAACGTTTGGTATGTTTGTACACGTCGTCGTATATCTTCTTCTTATGTGTGACTCGCATCTCCGGCAGTTGCGCCATCATGCTAAGCAAAGTGATTCCGAGAGCCCAAATATCGTCTTCCTTGCCATCGTGGCGCTGGTGCTTTGCCATCTCCGGAGACCAGAATTTGTATGTTCCGGTCTGCAGGTGAATGTCCTTGTCGCCATAGATTTCTTTGCCACAGACTTGGCAGTCTGCGCAGTCGGCCAGAACAACATAGATGGGGTTCAATTTGCGGATAAGAATGTTTCGTGGCTTGACATCCGAGTGGTAGTAGTTCTGTTCATGGATAAAGGCAAGCGCATCCCCTATTTGGCTCATAACAAGGAGGATATCCCTCTTGCCCATGCCGCCAGGAACGTGATAGATATGATCGCCAAGGTCTCCCTCTGCACAAAGCTCGGTGATGAGGATCTTAGCCCCTGCGGCTTCACCTTGCTGGTGGAGTTCAACAAATTTCAAGATGTGATTCTAAACAATGAAAAATGAACACGTCAGCTTAGTTCGTTCAAAAAGGGACAGCTTCTGAAATGAACAAGACGTTCTCAACGAAAAGAGTGAACTACTCACATGACTAAACTTGAGAAGTATCTCAATCTCCTGGTTCAGCTGCTCATCGCAAGACGCCTTTCCAGCAAAAAGCTTGCCGTCCGCAATCCTCTTGACCTTGTAGACGGCAGACCATGCTCCCTGACCCAGGACACTCCCGCGGAGATATTTGTCGCAGGTGAATATGCCCTTATTCGCATTCGAATGCGCTTCGTCTTTCTCATTCCAAGTGTTGTGAGAAGACCCTGAATCTGTCGGTGAGGGCTGCAAGGGCCAAAGTCCCTCGGCAGCGGCAGTATCGCCAGAGTAGGTTCCCATAGTACCGTTGGACTGGATGGAAATAGTTTCGCTGGAGTTGGTGGAGGTGGACATTTTGTCCTGCAGGTGTTGGTGCAACAAAGAGAAGGTGTTCAGGGAGTGATAGAAATTTGTGGTAGTGTTTGTAGAGTAGTAGTCACGTAGATGTGAGAGCAAATGTGAACACAAATGTCAACAATGTTCAGACGGGGTGTTCAAACGCCGAGAGCTGAAGAATATTATCCAAGAACGTGACAGATTGTGATGGAGAGGTGTGTGAAGAAAAGAAAACAAACAGACAAACAGCAGATAGGCAGTTCAGTTTAAATAGAAACCCAGCCTGAGAGTGTAAAGCCTCCTTTGGCCAGACAACGGAGGGACATGCAATTCACGTACTTCCATAAAGGTAGCTCTACCTACAACCTGGAGTCTGGGAGTGCCTACAACTTGTACTGGGTTCAACAGCTGCTAAATGTCGGGCGAATATTGCGTTTGAGCATGTTTATCCCCAGATACTTTCTATGGCTGTTATTTAGATATAACTATTCAAATGTTGGCCAGGAAACACGCAAACTCTGCGTATATCTTATGGCAAAGGAGGCGAGTATCTTCGACGCCAACAGCAACATGTTTTTTCCCCCAGATAACGATTTCAAAGACAACACAAGACATCACCAAACCAAGTCAAGAACTATGAAAAGAAAAATCCCAATTGTCGTGTGACTACCTGCGGTATGTAATATAATAATACACTTACGTCGCCGTAACTCTCTCCCAATGAAAAAAAAAAAAAAAAAAAAAAAACTAAAGCAGCCGCAGCAATCGTTGAATCCCCCTCCGCTTCCAACGTAGCAATGCTACTTTCTTCTAGACTGAGCCTCAAACCAATCGCCAAATACTCCCGTTCCAACGCCAGACGGCAATTTCAACACGCCAAAAAGGACACAAAAGTCCAAATAAGATCCCTGGTTTTTTCATCGACTGTGCCGTTATAACGTAGTTTACGTAACCTTAATAAATCATAATTTGTCTCACCAAACTGCTCCCCCTAAAAGCAAAAAAAGAAGTAGAAGAAAAAGAAGATATGAAGAATTTGTACAGGCGGACGAGAAGTAGCACCATGAATCTGTCGTGAGGCGAAGTAAAATTAGGATGCTGTCCTTTTAATGTTCGGTCTCTGTTCAGTTTGAAGGCCGTCGCTGGGACGCTTTTCTCAAATTTTCCATCATCCGCTCGACAAACTCCATAGACTCGCAGCCTGGAACGTCTGGGAATCCTTCGGGCTGATGATGCATTGCGGTTTTTGTAGGACTAGACTGTGGGGCTTGGCCATCCCCAGTCTGAATATTAGTCGTGATAGTGGTTGACAGTACTGAAGCTGCAGACATTGGCATGTCTGGAATTACTTTACTAGAAGCGCCATTTGGAGACTTGTCAATTGGCGCCACAGTCTCTTGAGGAATATCTGATGGCTCTTTAAGCGCGAAAGCACTTTGGTCATAAGGAGCTGGTTGTGAAGCCTGCGGTAAGATCGGTGGTTTGGTTATTGCAGACGATGACAAAGGGGCCCCTGTACTTCCTTGGAATGACATTGAAAATTTGGGGAGCGGTACTGGTGTTGTGGATATTCTCTGAGGCGGTTGCACTGCTTTTGGTGTTGAACTTCCAGGGCTTGTCGACTCTTGCGGAGGTGATGGCGAGGATGCCACAGTTGCCTTTGTGCTGGGAGAGGCGGCCTGAGGGCTTCCCGGCTGAAGAGGTGAATGCTTAGTGGAGGAGGGCGCAGGAGTACCGGCAGAGGGAGTCATGGCGGCCAAGAAGTTTGCTGGCAAAGGCACTGGGGATTGTTTGGACGGAACCTGCATTGCGGATTTAGTCGATTTCAGAGACAGACTGATAGCGGCGGGTAAGCCAACCTTGTACGACTTGGAAACCGGGGTTGGCTTGGGCTTGCTGGGCGGCTGGACCAGATTCCTATACTGCGCTTTGATCGCCGGATGGTATTGGTGGCTTGCAGTTCCTAATATCGGTGCAGGGAGCGTGGAAGCAGTATGCTGCGCCGACGTCGCTGTCTGCTGTGCTACGGAGACAGCTGGGCCATTGTGTGGTGCAGGCACAGAAGGCGAGGCGTGGTATGGTCCTGGAGTGCTCACTGGAGACATTGCAGTCAAGGATGCCCGTCGGAGAAGATCGTTTTGATTTGCTAGCAAGTGTGCTCTCAAATCGCCTTCGTATCCGTTGGTGAACCCACCCCATGGCGAATAAGGGGTTCGGTATTTGGATGGCTCTCTGTACAGCTTTAGTTAGTAACAAGTTACTACCTCGTATATACTGCCGAACGGTTAAGAGACTTGCCTATTGTGATTGACTTGGAAAAAGGGGTACTTTTGATAGACCGACGAATGAACTTGCCAAGTGGGCTTGCCATATTGCTGCTGGCCATGGGTAGTTGGAGCAGCCCTATGATTTGCGGGAGTTGCCGAAGCCCTTGCCGTCAATGATGCTGGGAAAGAAGATTGTGGCGGTTGCTGCTGCGGCTGCTGCTGCGGCTGCGGTGGTAGGGGTGGCGGGAATGCTTGAGTTCGAGGGACTGCGTTTGCCCCAGCCATGTGGTCAAACCGCTGTGCTGGATATGGTTGATACTGGTGAAATGGTTGATACTGACGGTGAGTTGTTTGATATTGATGGTGAGCGGGAGGATGATGAGGATGAGTCGGGGGATGAGTCTGAGGATGAGTCTGGGGATGAGGAGGAGCGTTCGTCCCTTGGAATGAAAAGGTCCCGGGAGGTTGGTGGGTGTAGCCGATGGGGGTTCTTGGTTGATAGACGTATGGCCTTTCTGAGCCTGTAGCGTTCGTGGGCGTCATCATGTGGCCCGCAAAAACACCTGTGTGAGCGAACTGACCAGGAACTCCATAGGCTCTCTGCTGGTATACAGGTCGCGCGGGTACAGGCTTGGGAGGCTTCGGAAGTGTATCCAGGAAGTTACCCTTGGGGTTGTGTCGTGGATTTGACGGATCTTCGGTATACTGAGCTCTGGCCTCGGTCGAAGTCTTTCCGAGATAATACCAGACCTGGTCCTGTTTGCTAAAATCGACCTTGGTCTGCTGGGTGGTGACTTCGCTGGTGTGGAATTCTGCCCAAGAATAATCTCCCTCGATAAACGGATCGCCCTTACGTGGCTTGTCATCCCCTTGGTGGCGCTTGGCATTCAGCTTATCCTTTGCCTTTTGTGAGGATGGCAGCGGGATAGCATTTGCGGACGCCTTGGGTAGGTGGTAGTCGGATGGATCTGGAAGTAACAGCCATTTCCACTCAACCTCCAGTCGGTCGCCGTTAGGAAGAAGGTCAACGAGTAGCATTCGCTCGTCTGGCCGATTTTCCACCACCATTCCGGCAAAGATTTCGCCTTTGTGATACTGCATCTGGCAGATGTCCCCCTTTTGGAGGGCTTCAGCGGCCTTGAGAATGCGAGAGTCCTCTTCCAGGGCATCGCCATCCAGCTTCTTATCACGCTTGGTGCGGTGGAAGCGGCAGCTAAACTCAAAGGCTTGTTCTTTATATTCCGTCCCATCTTCGCCAAAGACGGGCACCTCTTGCTCCTCCGTAAACACTCCTGCAGCTGCAGCGCATGTTGCGTGATATGCCCTTGCACATTTCTTTTGTGAACACTGGAAGCACGCCCCACGCTTCGATCGACAAAACAGACATTTGAGATCCAGACGATCCTTGTGCACTGCAGTGACGTTGGAGACAACCTCTTTGCCATCCACCGTGTCGATGTATGTCTCTGGAATGTAGAGGGCGCAGAGACGATGGGCCTTTCTACCGTCATCGGTTGGTAGAAACTCGAGGTTCGGGACATCGTTGGGGCACAGGCAACAGGGCGGCTCAGCCTTGACTTTGAGCCGTAGTCGGATTTTCTTGACCTTGACCTTGGCACCCTTGTCTGCCCGGCCGCGCTTTCTCTTGCGGCTTGCGTCCTTGAATTTCACCCCATGGCCGCCAGGAGGAGTGGGAAGCCCTAAGAGCTCGTCATCTTCGTCGTCATCGTCGTCATCGTCCTCCTCCTCTGTCTCTTCGTACTCAGTCTCCTCGCCGCGCAGTTTACGTTCAATCTCATAGACGTTGACCCATACGCTGTCTTGGGCCTGAGCACATTCGCACTTCTTGGCAATCTTGCCCATCTCAAGCCATGAATCGAGAGCAAAGTTGACTGCCTCGGCGCAGTTGTACCCCAAATTATAGCCGGAGTGATATCCATAGGGATATGTGACGACAAACTCACCGGGATACGAGACGACTTTATTGACTTTGATACCATAATGCTGCTTCAAGTGTTGGGGCGAGATGAGGAAGGCCTTGTGTCTGAGGAACTGATCGCAGGCTTTGGCATCAGCAGGCCAAATACTCTTCATGGCAGTCTCAAATCGTCGAGCATCGGCCTGAGAAATGCTGTACCACTGTTTGGGAGCGCCAAAGTGAAGATAGTTGATGCTGTAAAGATCGACATCCTCGAGATGCCACGCAAACGTCGCTTTCCACATGCCAAGATAGAGGTATGCCGTATTGACACCAGGGACCTTTGTGCCGAGAACGTCCAGGAGGTTAGGCAACTTGTTCAGATTCCAATTCTCGGTTCTTTCATCAAAGAGCGTGCCCATCAGATCGGCACCATACAGTGGCTGGGCATATGTCAGGGTTTTCCAGTATACTCTCTCTAGCTCTTCGCAGCGCTCAGGCGTGTAGTCGGAGATGTCCATCCGGTAATCGAAATCCTTGAAGGCAGCCTCATCGATGACTGCAGAGGCTTCTCGACGACTAAATTTCCGGCGCGCCGAGGTTGATTGAATCTTTGGCTTGGCAGGCCTAACGCCACCCATTCTGCGGACGGTAGGTTGATCATCTTCGTCTTCATAGTCCACCTCGGTGCCCAGCTCCTTTTCGATAGAGTCCATGACCTCGTCTTCTGCGCCTTCGCCTTCGCCTTCGCCTTCAGCCTCGACTTTTGGCGAGACGGG